TGGAAGGAGAAATTGCTTGCGTCACTCCTGTGGGTCTGGAGACATGGATGGTTGCTAAACCAAGAAGGGCTCCATAAAATAACCAATGCAGGATGGAAATGCTCCTCTATTTACGTTCTTTTCTCCTGTAAAACCTGGGCCTCTGTGGACTAGAAGCAGGATGGAAGCAGTTCAGAGAGAATTCAGGAAGCTGCTGGAAGAAATGTGGTGTAGGGAGGGAGGGTCAGGAAAGCTGGAGAGAGTGAGCATACTGGAGGAAGAACTGTTAAGGATGGGCGTGCAAAGAGGACAAAGCGAAGTTTTAGCACTGGTGGAATAAACGGGGAAGTATTCATAGCAAGCATTTATGGAGCACTTCCTGTGTGCTTTTATTTTAGTATTCATTTAATCTTCATAGATCTGAGAGGTAGGCCTGTTATACTTCCTGTTTTACAGAGGAAAAAACTGAGACACTAAGAATATGCAGATCCTCCAGGTCACCCATACTAGTAAATGGAAGAAGCAGAATTTGAATCAACTTTCAGATACCTTTCTACTTATGCTGTGATTCCCGGGAAGAATTCCATAGGTAGGGACTCTCCAGAGAACTGTGACTACGTAGCTAAACTAGAACAAATATGTAGTTTGAGGTGACAGGTGACAAAGCTGTAAGATAGAATGATTGGAATCATCATCAAATGTAGGTCTGGCAATAAATCACCCAAAGGATTGTCTAGAAATGCAGTGGAGAAAAAAATTCTGAATTGGCAGAAACTTGGTGATAAAGATAGCAAGGAGAATAGAAAAAAAATGATTTAAGCTTGATGAGAGAAGTATAATTTGTGCAAAAGAAGCAACTATTAAGAGATTTAAGGTGGTTATCACCTACAAGTGGCTTTCAATTGAATCAGGCAGGTAGTGCTTAGTAGATTACTAACAATAAATGGTAACATATACCAATTGCCAAATAAGAGATCTAGAGACCTCAAGTTCAGAAGTTCTGCTTGGAATTGGTTGTCCCTTGATAGGAAGCTGATAAGGTCTCCAGATTCCTGTTCCGGCCTGTTTGTTCCTTCTCAGGGGGAGATGAGCTCTTCTTTGTCCAACTGGCTGTTCTGAGTCAGGTTATCAGACATTTTTGTTTCTCAGTTGAGTTTGATTTTTACCAAAGCATTACCCAAAGAGCCATGATGCTACCTACACAAAAGAATTTAGTAGGAGGAAGAGAAAATTCTGAAATGGGTGTTTTGCTTGTGTTCTGGATGACTCTCCCCCTCCCCCTTGTCTCTCCTACCTACTCCCATGGGGATGGGGTGGCAGTGTGAGGGTGAGTAATCAGGTACATGTGTATCTTAAACAGCTTTGCTGGAGTGTGATGGGTTTAACTGCTGAGTGCCGAACCCACTGCAGAAGTGGAAGGCATGTGGGAGATGATGTGGTCTGTGCTCCCCTCACTCTTCTGGTTGCAGAACCCCTGACCCTTCTTTTTTTTTTTTTTTTTTGGTTTTTCTCCGGTGCCGGGAACCAAACTCACGACCTTGCGCTTGCCAGGCAGGCGCTTTGCTGCTGAGCTAAATCCCCAGCCCCGCCCCCGACCTTTATTTTAGCACCACTTTTACCCATTGTTCTCAGTATGTGCTTCCAAGGTGGTCACCTGTCGCAGTCCACTGCCCTCCAAGGTTCTGGGTCTTGGCCAGGGCCAATTGGTGCTCTTCCCAGGATTCTAGGAGTCGAGTGTAAGAGATGAGACTGCTTGCTTTGCTGGCAGGGGAGTAGACATGAGCCCGAAAGCCAGTGACAATGGCTTACCGAGGAGAACAGGCCCAATTGTATGAAGTTCAGAGGTAGATGAAAGCAGAGATGAACTGCTTATGTGCGCTTCCAGACTGTTTTCTTCTGTGGGGCAAAACCTGAACCTGAAATAAATAGTCTAAGCAAAAAAGAAAATATATTTTTAAAGACTTGGAAAGAAGGTTTTCAATAACATCTTCAAATGAGAACAGGAGACTCAGAATTAGTTCTGGGATTTGGATTCTGTATAAAATGACTAAGTTAATGTGTTTGTCACTTCCCCAGCTTGGCGATGTTTTGCCCCTTTGAACAAAAGAAGCATTGTGCTGAATAAACTTAGAGCATATTATCTGTGATACTGAAACTATTTAAAGATTGCTCATTGGGACTTTTTTAAAAAAACAAGTGAATAATATAATTATCTAAGGTTCAAAGCAACCTCCATCCCTCCAGGTTTAGACTTATTTACAACATGGTTCGCATGCACCATTAAAGATAACAAAGTATAAACCAGTGGTTCCTTCATCTCTAGTAATTTTCTTTCATCTCAACAGTGAAAATGCGATTTCAGATTAATTGGAAATAATGCCCATTTGGGCTTGGAATAGTTTTAGAGAAAGCCATTTCTCCCACTTCTAAAGTTTTACCTTTAATTAGGGTAATAAGACTTTGGCAAATAGCTTTGCCAAATAGCTTTGAGGTACATCTTTAAATAAAGTAAGACATAATTTGTAATTAAATGATTGATGTCCCAATTCCTCCAAATGGTTAACATTTATTGTTTAAGTACTCTATGGATCTGATATGGATATGAGTCTTATACTCATTACCTATCTTATTAAAGCCTCACAATTGCCAAAAGAGGCAAGTATTGATTTCATCTTATAGAGAAACACACCAAGTCTTAGAAAAGTGAATGCCCACAGTCCTACAGCCACCAAACCTGTCCCAAATGTGTCAGACCTTTAAGTTGATGGTATTGACCATGTACTCCATGCTACCTCTGATGTCATTACATTTTTTTATGTGTAGGTTTATTTTATTATTTTCTTAACATCATTTCCCTTTTCTTGTCATTCATTTTGGCATTTTTGACTTCATTTATTAGGCACTTATTATAACTAACCAATACTAGGTACTGTAGTACATTATCTATTCTCTTTTACTCCTCCCTACCATCCAGGCTACAGTTTTATTGTGTCTTACTTTTAAAAAGTGGAAGTGGAGGACTGGATCTCAGAGAGGATAAAAGACTTCCCTAAAACAACAGTTATAAGAGTCATAGGCACACTTAGTGTAGAGCATACATCTGTGATGTTTAATCAGAGCAGAGAGTAGTAAAGGATTTTCATGGTGGGAGGAATGAACTCAGAAGACCAAGTGATGGTGCCGCCAGTGGAACAGGAAATGGAGTGGGTAGTGAGTGTGGTCAGGCAGGAGAGCTAAAAATGCTTGGATGATTTCCCTGGGGCCAGGTACACAGCAGAGTTGTCAGATGGCCTACACTGTGCCAGCCAGGGCTCTCCTGGGGTCTGGAGGCTTTACAAGCACTGCTGTGGGTTAGAGACCATAGCAGGCCCAGGAATATAAGAGTGGGAGCCAGAGCTACTCTATACCAATTCAGTAGTCCCACTGGCCAGTTATGCTGACAGAAGCAGAGCACATGCGATGCTTTTCAAGTATGCAGATGACGTACACCATTTAGCCATCCATCTGCAAACACGTATGATAGCTACTCATCTCTAGAGCTTTGAACAGTGGTGCGGTGCTCTGTCTCACAAGGAGACAAACTGATGATCGAGGCTGGAGTTCAGAAAGTCAGGCAGTGTGTGGGCTTGGGCACTGAAATCAGCAATGAATAAGATAAAAGTCTCTGTCGGAAGGAGCTAACATTTCAGTGATAGGAGATAAGACAGAAAAGAGTCCCCTGCAATGGTAATACATGAAGGAGAGGAAAGTTGGATGAAGAGGAAAGAAGAGATGGGGGAAGGAGGGAGGTCTTTTTATATTTGTGGTCACAGAAGGCCTCTTCTTAGAGGCGACATGAAATGAAGACTTGAAAGAAGTGGAGGACAAGTGGCGGCCATCTAAAGGAAGAGCATTGTAGGCAAAGGAAACAAGAGGTGCAAACTCATGAACCAGAAACACGCTTCGCAAGTTCGAGGGTTCACAAGGAGAACAAGGGCCCAAGCAGAGTGTGGGAGGAAGAGCGTGCCAGGGATCCTCATCAGAAAGATGACCAGGACTGTGGATTTGACTCACAGTGAAATGAGACGCCCTTGAAAAGTTCTGAGCAGGAAGCTGCCATGACGAGGTACATGTGTATTTTATTAGTATATATTTGTGACACATAATGAATACATTCAGCATGGGAACTTGGCAGATATAAAAATCACATTTTAATCCTTTTACTTCCTCTCACCCATCCCTAGCTCCCCTTCCCATCTCTAAAACGTCTATCTCCCTGTTTCCTATCGCTTACCATTTATTTTACTTTTTCTTAATACTTCCTCAGTCTGGAAATAATTAGCCTTCTGTATCTGATTTATTTCACTTAGTATGTGGTCTCAAAGTGCATCCATTTCCTACAGATGACTCAAGTGTATCCTTTATGGTTGAATAGTACTCCACTTGTGTTTATATTACCACATTTTCTTTATCCAGTGGTCTGTTGATGGACATATAGACTGCTTTCAAGATTTAGTTATTGTGAGTTGTGCTCCTACAAATCTGGCTCTGTGGGTATCATTGTAATATAGTGTCTTGAACTCTTTCAGGGAGATGCCCAGAAGATGTATAGCTGGGTCACATGGAATTTCTACTTTTAGTGTTTTGAGAAAGCTCCGTGCTGAAGTTGTATTGAAGTATTTTCACAGAAGTTGTATTAGTTTACATTCCCATCAACAATGCAAAATGGTTCTTTTTTTCCCCTGCAACCTCACCAGCATTTGTTGTTGTTCTTAATGGTAGCAATTCTTTCTGGACTAAGAATTTCAGTATTGTCTTTTCATTTGCATTTCTCTAATGTGTATGTGAAAAGGAGCACTCCAGCTGTGACAGTGGAAGAAGGGGGCCAGGTTTAGCAGCTACTGCAATAGTCCAGAGGGAGAGGAGGGTGACATGGACCAGGATGTGGGTGAAGAGATGATAGCAGTGGAGTAGTCTTGCTTATAGTTTGAAGTAATTTTCCATGAAAAGGCCCATAACTAAAATAGTCTTATTCACAGACTATGGACAATTGGCCAGGATATGAGTTGAATTTATTCACATACCCACAGCACTGTTATGATGATTTGGAATACGTACTCATACCTCATGGCATCATTGTGGACTGGTGAGTGTTATTTTCTTCATTGATTTTGGTCCTGCTCTGGGCTGGCCCGCCTTTTTATGAATCCTATAATGTTTTTGAGACCTTATTTCTAAGTCCCTTTTTTAGTGGTAAAACAAACTTTCATTGGAGAACAAATTTAGAATACAATGAATTTATGCTTTAGCTAAATAGTGTATGTGGACATTTGTCCAAGGGGAATGGTAAGAAGGGTATACATATGTAAGACAGCATAATGACTCACAACAACAGCATCCTATTCAAAAGAATGACAGTGGGGGATTTAGGTCAGCAGCACAGCGCCTGCCTGGCAAGCGCAAGGTCATGAGTTCAATTCCTGGTACCGGAACGAAAAAAAAAAAAGGAATGACCATGGGGACTGAGAAAGTATTACTTTTCACCCAGAAATCTTTATCCCCTGCTATCTACAGTTCACAGACAGAGCTACTCAGGGAAATTCAGGAGGTGATCTATATAGGATGGACATACCCTCCCAATCTTGACTTTTCCTCTTTCATTTCATTTCTCTTTGGACCAAGTAATGAGTCACAGTTCAGCCACTCTGCTTACAATTGTGTTTTCTGACCAGTGGTAATGTTTTTGGAATAACAATATCTGTAGTTTTAAACTATCAGCAGAGAACTATTTCTAGTTCTTTCCTGCCTGTCTACCCAGACCATTCTCTGGCTTCTTCGTAGCCAGTTGTCTTCTCCAAGGATAATATTTTCTTTGTTGTTGTAAGCTTCAAGTCACTTCAGCCTACTCTTTATTTTCAAAGCTACAATTAATTCAGCCCACCAGAAGCGTCAGAACTTATAGGTCATGCCCCTTTGACAAAACTTAGTGCCAAGACTGTTCATGTGCTTCAGTTATTGGTCAAACGTCAAACACTTAAGTCTCCACATTCTATGGAAAGCAAACTTTCCAGTGTTTACAACACACCTCTGGAATCCTAGCGATTTTTCAGAGGTTCATAACTCCAAGTGGGGAAAGCAGTGAGGAGCAGCACCAAGTTGAGACTTGGGGCTCTCACACCAACCCTTTCCTCCAGCCATTGTACTTTTACCTCTATAGTTTTATAATGTTATATTCTTCTGAGTTAAAACTTAACTTTATGAACTAAGTCTTCTGAGCAAAATAAAGTCTGATATTCAATGGTCACCTTCCCAGGATATTATTTTTTCATCCACCAGTAAACAAAAGGAATTGTCATTCTTTCATCTGAATTGTTAAGATTGTCCATTGCCTGAGACTAATGTTTGTTTTCTCAATATATAGTATATTATTGCCATAAGTTCTAGTTTGGGGTTTTTCATAGTCTAAGGTAGCCTTCCCATGGACTGAAAGTATGACACTAGTCAGAGGGGGAAAGTTCCATGACCAAACAAACTTGGGAAATTTTGCATTTCCGATATTGCTCGGTCTCCCAGTTGGCAATTCAAAATGAACATTAGCGTCATATTAAAGATGTGGAAATTCTAGCAAAAAAAGAAAAGAAACTTGTTCAATTTTAAGCCAACTTCTTGTGCAGAGAGAGACTGTGTTACCTCTTAATAATTCTGAGGTTTATCTTCATACCAGTTAGGGAGGTGTCAAACCCTAGTTTAAACAAATTCTTAATTTTTCTTACTTGAATTTTATGATTTTAGTTAATTGCACCCTTATATGAAATATTGTTGAGTTCTGGGTAAAGTGACCAGAGACCTTTTCCTCTTTTTTTTTTTTTTTTTTTTTTGGTATGGAAATCGAACTCAGGACCTTGTGCTTTCCAGGCAGGCAGAGACCTTTTTCTTGTATAAGAAAATCACCTAGTGAATTTTTTAGAGTACATATTATATCTAGAAATCCTGAATCAGTAGTTTGGGGATGTAATTTCACACTACAAAGTTCACCTATTTTATGTTAGTGAATAATTCAATGACTTCAGTAAATTCAGCCATCTCTGCCTTCAAATTTTACAACATATCCATCATCCCCAAAAGTTTGTTTGCAGTCAATCCTGGTAGCCACCCCTTATGACAATCACTAATTTGCTCTTTTTTTCCTATAAATTTACTTTTCTGGGCATTTCATTTACATAAATTATATGATACCTAATTATTGATCCATCAATTGATAGACATTTGGATTTCTAATTTTGTCTATTGTGAATAAAGTGTGTGTGAACTTTCATGTATGAAAGGGATGAAAAAGAAAAAACCAAGAAAAGAAGGAAAAAATGGAAACAAACCTTTTGTAAATGTGGAAGAGGGGTTAAAGAGAGGGTGGAGGAATGGAGAAAAAAGAAGATTCAAGATGTATCATGTACATATACAAATTCTCTGTGATGAGTGTGATCATTATGTATATTGCAAACATACCAATAAACTTAATTAATTAAAAAAAGTCTTGCCTTTCACAAAATTTTAAAAAATGCCTTTGTGTGGACTTATCTTTTCATCTCTTGTGGATGGATTACTTGGAGTGGAATTTGGGGTTTTTTGGTCCCTTTAATAAACTGCAAATTATTTTGTACAGCAACTGCACTGTTCTCTGTTCCCAATAGTAATCTCCTTTGAAGAGATGTCTATTCAAGTTTTTAGCCAATTTTAAAAATTTGGCTGTCTTGTTGAATTGCAAGAGGTCTTTATATATTTTGGAGACAAGTCTTTTATCAAATATATGACTTAAAAATATTTTCTATCAGTCTGTGGCTTGTCTTTGCATTTTCATGTTTGTATCTTTTGAAGAGAGAGGGCTTACTTGTATGTTTTGAGAAGAATGCATATTCTGTGGTTGTTGGATGAAGTATTCCATAACTGTCAGTAGGATCCATTTGGTTGAGAGTGCTGCTGTGCTCAGTGGATTGAGTTTGACAGTTGGATCTGTAAATTACTCTTAGAATGGGTCTTGAGGTCTCCAGATACAAGAGTGGGTTTTTCTGTTTCTCTTTATTGTTCTATCAGCCCTTCACACTGTATTGTTAGGAACATAAACATTAGATGGTAATGTCTTCTTGGATAATTGACCTCTTTATTATTACTTAATACCCTTCATTTTCCCTGATAATTCTTGCTCTGAAGTCTACCTCACCAGAAATTAACATAGCTCTTCCAGCTTTCTTCTGATTAGCATTTGCATAGCTCGTCTTTTTCTATTTTTTAACACTGAGTCCTCTGTGTTCTTTTTTTTTTTTTTTTTTGGTTTTTCTCCGGTACCGGGAACCGAACTCATGACCTTGCGCTTGCCAGGCAGGCGCTTTGCCACTGAGCTAAATCCCCAGCCCCTTTCCAGCTTTCTTCTGATTAGCACTTGCATAGCTCATCTTTTTCTATTTTTTAACATTGAGTCCTCTGTGTTCTTAAAGTGAATTTTTTGTAAACAGCATATAGTTGGGTCTTTTTTTTAATCAACCCTGATACTCTTTGTCTTTTAATTGATATTTAATTGGCATTTATTAATTGGCTAATGGTATTTAGACAGTTAACATGTAAAGTGATTATTGCTGTAATAAGTTTAATATCTTTTACTTTTGAAGCTATTTTCTGTTTGTCACTGTAATTCTTTCTCTTTCTCCCTTTTCCCTTTCTCCCATTCTTGCTTCTCTCCTTGTTTCCCTCCCCACCCCTCCTCTCACCTTTCACTTTGTAAAATATGTCTCCCCTACAATGCTTGTCCTCTGATGACTGAGTAGTTTATTTTTCTTGTTTTTATTTATTTCCTAAGTTTGGTTTTCTCATTTTTATTGGAGGCCATAGGGGAGGCAACCTCCTCCCTGTCAGTGGAGGTGTTCACTTTTTCTACACCCACTCCGAGCTGGAACCTGGAGAGTCCTGGGACTGGCTAGGCACATAAGGCATGCTTCTGTCATTTTGGAGGGGCACTGGTAGTTAGTTGTAGGGATCTTTCTGATGAAGGACCTGAAGGAGGATAGAGTTGTAGAGAGGGTCCCAAAGGTCTGCACTGGTTCCTGGCCAAGACATTCTTGAGTAAAGTGGCAAGTCTCACAGCCATCTTGGCCTCCTTGTTTTTATTTTTAAGCCTTACTATGATCTACCCATGAATTTGAAAAACATAGTGTTCAGCCCATAGTTGGTTTGAAATGGTGGTCAAGCATTTTGAGACAGTACTTTCCACTCTCTGCTGATAGATGTGTGCATGGGACAGGAAGCATATTCAAATTTCCAATTAATCTCTTTCAAGTCTTCTCTGATTTTACTTTCCCCTGGCCTCTTATGTCTATTCTGTGCATGCAGAGAGCCTCTATCATCCAGAGATGTGTGGGTGGCTTGCACCCACTCTAATTTTGCTATATAGGTGGACAGCCACTGCTCAACTTGAGATATAGGGGGAATTTTTTGTGTACCATTGCCCTATGACCCTCCAACCCTCTTAAACTCCCTATAATATCCTGACTAATCTGCCAGTTCATTGTTCAGATGGGATTGCAACTTTGAGGACAATGGAGTCATGTTACTGAGATGGCCAGGTTAGTTTACAAGGTTCCCAACAGGTGACTTCCCTCTGGCCGTACCGCACACTGGCTGAGCTACATGATACAAAAACAGAGTTAAGGGTAAGGAATGATGAATGCATCCCCAAGCAAGAATGTCACAGACTTATGCTACATTTATCCAGTGTTCTGTATTTTCAGAATAAATATTTTCTTAGTTTATTGTACCCCTTTGGTTGATTTCCAGAGCTGGAGATGGCTGGTTTTGATAGTTTTGTCCAGCTGGGTTTGTGTGTGTGTGTGTGTGTGTGTGTGTAGAAAATGAATTGACCCACTTATTCTGTCATGTAGTAACAAACGTCCCTTTTTAAGGAGGAAGCCATGTATTCTTTTTTTTTTTGTTTTTTTCCTGTAGTGGGAATCGAATTCATGACCTCGTGCTTGCCAGGCAGGCACTGTGCTGCTGAACTAAATCCCCAGCCCCAATATTCTTGATACACATTTTTCTGCTGATCATATTTTGAGAAATATTGCCTGAAACCATGGTTACTCTTCTGCATGTACATGTGTATATGCATATGGGCACACATATATAAAACACAGTACTGTGTAATATATATAATTTGGTTTATCTGTTTTAATCTAATTCTATCTCAGGTGGCAATGAGGACCTTTTTTTAAAAGTCTGCACTTTAGATCCTGCCTCCATTTAAGGTATTAATGTTCTCTGGCACATGGACAATGGACTTACAGACACAAAACAATTAAGAACAAATACAAGGGCAGTGCAAGATCTGAGGCTGCTGCTCATTGCAGAGCCCCAGGGGGCCTGCTTCCATTGTTTTTCATGGGAACACTGCTCCCTGAAACTGTACTCTGGAGCACCTCTTACATAGGCAATGTGTGTGCTATGTTTGTTGAGGTTAAGATGCACAGTTCTTTTAACAGTTAAAATAGGTTTGACATTTCCTCCAGTCTCCTGTAATATTCAGTGAGTGAGTCATTCTCCATTTCTTTTTTCTCTGCAATAAAGAGAACATATCACTGAATACCATCATAACACTGTTATGGTTAACAACTGAGCACTGTAGTGATAAAATAATAGCTAGCGTGTATAACCTCTGACACTGTACTTTACGCCTTGATTTTTATGACACAGGAACAAGATTGTACCACGGATAATGTGACTAGAAGCATGTTTTAAACATGCTGTTTCCAAACTTAAATTTTTTCTACATGAAGGTTTCTGATTCCCAAGCTTATTTCTGCATTTCCCTGATTAATGAATGTGTACAAAACATCCTGCATTTTAATTAAAGGAATGAAAGTACTCAGAAGTAGTTGTTCTTTAATGTATTCTTTATTCTTCTTTCAGAATTGAGTGGCTGGCTAAGGACATTATGAAAGACATAGGATATTGTGACAGTTTGATCCCATGTGTGCTTAAAGGAGGTTACAAATTCTGTGTTCATCTTATAGAGCACCTTAAGAACATCAGCCAGAATCCAGATAGATGTGTCTCTATGAAGGTTAATTTCATCAGACTAAAGAGTTATCAGGTCAATTATTACATGTTTCATTACATGTTTATTCAATTATTACATGTTCCATTACATGTTTTATTGCAAGATGTTTAGCACAAACAATACCTTAGTCTAAAAGAACTAATAAACTCGAGAAAATTACAAATGTAAATTTAATGAAATTGAAATGAAAATGAAAGAGTAATTTGTTTTTAATTTGCAAGAATGGTAGAACCTGCTGTAAGAATTCAAATACTATTCTTTGGGGGAGGGAAAATAAAACCTTTCTCACATATATAGAATCACTCATAAGGAACGGTTTATGTATTCTTCTACAGTGATAAGGCTAAGTGGGTATTTCCTGGTGCCCAGCCTCACAACTGGTCAGCGTTTAGAAGGACCAGTGAGCACCAATGTGCTTCTTCCCTGGGGCTCCCCCTTGGCCCTCGAGACCTATAGAAGTGTTTGGCCCAGAGAGGAAACTTTGTACTTGTGTCTCTGCAGTCATGGCCTGGAGTTAAAGAGGGGAAGCCTGTAGGGCAGCACAAGTGTGAGGAGACCAGACCAGGGAACGCCCAACAGAAGTTCTCTCCACCAGTTTATGGTGGGATTTTTGTGGCTACCCCTGGGTGGAATTGGTAGGGATTATTCTCCAAAACCATCCCTGTAGTCTTCTCTTCTTCTTTCTCTGATGTTCACTTTTGCAATACTTTCTGATTCAATGGATACTATATTTATTGATTGAGGAACTCTTGGGAGCAAAACTATGAAAATATTTTCATTGAGAAAATAGTCTGACATATTGGGATGCATCAATCACTCTTCAAATTGACTTTGCAGTGGTATATAACAAAATCACCACAAACTTATTGGCACAAACCAACACAGGTTTATTCTCTTACAGGTTTTGTGGGTCAGAAATCTGGGTGTGGTAGGGGGATGGTTCCCTGCTCACAGTCTTACTAGCTTACATCAGATATGGTAGTTTGGGTTTTGATCAAGTGAGATTTGGGATCTTTTTTCAAGACCCCTGATTATTGTCAGAAATGGGTTCCCATTTCCTTGCTGACTGTAGGCTGCAGACCTCTCTCTGTTCCTAGAAGATGCTTCGGGACTTTGTCTTGTGAACTTTCTGGATGCAGTTTACAACCTGGTTACAGTAGCTTTTGCCTCTTTAGACCTCCTGGGAAATTGTGTGGGAAGGGCCCCGCCCTACTTTACAGCTCAGCTGATTAGGTCATGTTTACCCATGATAATCTACCTTTTCATGAACTCAAAGTCAACTAACCAGTGACCTATCTGGGGGATGAATTCCAACCATCATACCAGCTTTCCTCCCACTCCAGTAGCGAGGATTATTCAGGACATATGCACCAAAGGTGCCACTCTTGAGGACTACCCTAGAATTCTACCCTCTACACGCTTCATGTGACCCTGTTTGAGTTGTCTCAGGTTTAGAGTAGTTGTAAATTAGTTCTCATATCTTAAAATACTCTATTTCTTGATGTGCTCTCAAGCTAGGTTAAAACTGCTTTTTGTAGACACCTTCACCCTAACTTAGGGTTTTCATCTTCTCTTGGAAATGTTTTCCTTCCTTAGGTTCCCATCATGCTGGATTGGTTAGCTGTACTTCTTTCTTAGAAGATTTTGCACATTCACTTAACCCTGATCCTCACTGAATTTGTCACTGATGAACTGCTCTTTAAAAAACTTTTAAGAAAGAAGGGAGAAGTAAAAAAAAAAAAAAAGAGAGAGAGAGAGCGAGAAAAGAAGGAAGAAATGGAAATAAAGTTTTATAAAAGGGAGAGGGGAGGAAAGTGTGAAGGGAAGATAGAGGAAGGGGGAAAAAAAGAAAACATAGAAATAAAAACCTTTTAAAATCTTTAAAAAATAAAAATCCAGTTTACTGAGGTATAATTTACATGCCATCACATTCTCTCCTTTTATTGTGCAGTTCTGTGCACTTCAACAAATGTATACAATCAAGGAAATCTCTACTGTCCAGATACAGAATAGTTTCCTACCACACACACAAAAATGCCCTTGTGTCTTTTATAGTTGGCCTCTCCCATACACCCAGGCCCTGGCAGCCACAGATGTTTTCTTTCCCTAGAGTTTTCTTTTTCCGGAATGTCATAAAAATGAAACCATATCTTGCAGTCTTAGCAAATCTGTAGCATAATGCACTTTAGGTTCATTCACACTGTGTATATCAGCAGTCCATTCCTTTTTATTGTCAAGCCCATTACATGGATATAACACAGTTTTTAAATCCATTTGTCAGCTGGAGGATACCTACATCTTTGTTTTCCTTGAATAAATATTTAGTGACAAAATTGGTTGATCATATGATAAGCGTGGAAAAGAAATTGTCAGACTCTTTTCCCAAGAGATTGAATCATTTTGCATTTCTACCAGCAGTATGTGAGAATTCCAGTTACTCTATATATTGATATCATCAGTTTTTACTTTTGCCCTTATTTTACCTATTAAAATAGGTAATAGTATCTCATTAAGGTCTTAAATTATATTTTTTTCAATGAATAATGATGTTCAACGTATTCTAATGTGATTATTTGCTATTCATATAACTTTTTGGATGAAGTCTTGGTGCACATATCCTGCCCATTTTTAAAAATGGGTTTTTTATTACTGAGTTTTGAAAGTCTTTATGTATTTGGTTATGGATTCTTTATTAATGCTTTGAATATATTTTGTATACAGTGAATTTCTTTTTAAGTTTTCTAACAATGCTGTTTTCCAAGAAGCATAATTTAATTCAATTGGCTATGTGTGTATGTGTGTGGATCTATTTCTGAGTACTTTATCAGGTTGGTTCATCTAGCTTGTCAACACCACACTATTTTGACTACTGTATCTTTATCATAAGCCTGGAAATCGGGTACTACAAATCCTCCAACTTTTTCTTTTTAGTAACTTTAGTTATCTTTGTTCTTTGCCTTTCCATGTGAATTTTAAAACATGCTGTCAATTTCTATAAAACAATTAGAATTTTAGGATTATTTGAAATCTGTAGATCAATTTGGAGAGAATTGACACCTTAATACCACTGTCTTCCATTCAATGAACAGGGTATATCCTCAAAGTTATTTAAATTTCAGTGTTTTCTAGTTTTCAGGAGTCAGATCTTAGACATCTTTGGTTAGGGTTATACATAAATATTTGATGTTTTTGGTCATACTATATTAAGTAAGATTTTGCTTTGAATTTCAATTTCAAATTATTTATGAATAGTGTATAGAAACATCACTGATTTTATAGATTAAACCCTATGACTTTTCCAAACTCTCTATTCAAATGGCATTCTGTGGATTTTCTATGAAGACAATAACTTCTTCTGTGACTAGAGATGATTTTATTTCTTCCTTTCTAATTAATAGACCTTTTACCTTTTATTGCTTCACTACACTGACAAGGCCATTTTGTTCACTATTGGATAGAAATGGTGAGAAAAAAACATCCTGCTTTGTTCTCAACTGGTACAGTACTGGCTGTTGGTTTTTGAAGCTGTTCTTCATCAGGTGAAGGAAGTTCCTTTTAGTTGTAGTCTTCTAAGAATTTTTAAAATTATGAATGAATGTTATCAAATGCTTTTTCTGGATCTGCTGAGATGGTAAATGACATTGATGAACTTTTCTAATATTAAACCATCTTTCCAGTTGGGCTTTTCATATATTGTTCTTTTCATGTATTGTTGATTTGATTTAACATTTTCTGAAGGTTTTTGCGTTTATGTTTATGAAAGATACTAAACCATATTTTTTTAGATTGCCTTCCTCTGATCTGGTGTCAGGATTATGTTCGCCTCATAAAGTGAGTTGTAAATATTTCTTTGGCATCTCTTTTCCAGAAGAGTTGTACACAAGTATTATCAGTTCTTCACTGAATATTTGGTAGAATTCACCAGTGAAACCATGTTGGCCTGCAGTTTTCTTTGTCAAAAAGTTTTTAATAAGTAATTTGATTCCTTTCATTGATATAGGATTATTACTTTGCATCTCTCAAGGAATTTATCCATTTCATCTAAGTTTTCACATTTTTTAATGTCTGTGGGGGTCTGTGGTGATATTCTCTTTTTTGTTTCTTATATTATTCAATTTTATTTTCTATCTTTTGTTTTTTTCTTCACCAATGTACCTAAGTTTATCAATTTTTTGTGTTGCTTATGGCTTGTGCAATTTTATCTTTCTGTTATCAGTTCCATCAGTGTATGCTTTTCCCATTATGACTTTCTTCTTTCTGTTTCCTTTGGTGTTAACTTGCTTCTATTTCTTAGTTTTGTAAGATGGGAGTTTACACCACAGAGTTGAGGCTGCTCTTGCTTTCCAATATGAGCATGTAATGCTATAAATTTTTCTTTAAGTACATTTTAAACTATATCTCACTTTTTTTTTTTTTTTTTTTGTACCAGGAATCAAACTCAGGACCTTGCCCTTCCCAGGCAGGTGCTTATGCCACTGAGCTATATCCCCGGCTCACATCCTTTGACATATAGTTTTATTTTCAATTAGTTCAAACTATTTTCTAACTTCTCTTGTGACTTCTTTTTTGACTTTTGGTCATTTCATGTTGTACAATTTAAAAATATTTGGAGGATTTTCCAGGAATTGTTTTTTTATTTTAAAAAAAGAACAATAGAAAAATGCCAACAACATTGACAAAAACAAAACAAAGCAAAAACAATAAGACTGATACAGGGCTTCAGAACAAAATGATAAGGATTAACAGCGCTTGTTATATTACATATTTTTATCTTCATTGAAGTTGGTCAGATTACCAGGTGTAAGAATGTAAGATCAATCAAGCCATTAAAATGAATAAAAAATAAAAACAAAAAAATTATAAATGGTACAGAGTTTCACCAAACAAGATGATAGGAATTCAGCAATGGTTGTTATATTGCATATTGTTGTCTTCAAATTAGTTGTTCAGATTGCCAGATATAAGCATGCCAAATTGGTCAAAAAAATAAAGCATTAACTGTTCCTTTCAATAAACCACTAGACATCAGCAGTACAGTTATCCCAGCTATCCTTGTATTACTTCTAGTTTAATTCTGTTGCAGAAATTATGCTTTATAAGACACATTTCTTTTAAATTTGTCAAAGCACATTATTACATAAGCTCTGAATATAGTCAGAAACTAGCAGCATGTAAGCCACGTTAAATTAATCTACCCTGCTCTTTTTAATTTCTCATACATTTTCATTATCTATATCTCAAAATAACCTCTCTTTATTTTGCCAACACTTTCACCTAGAGGCAGGCCTTCTAGTGTGTACACATGATGTTAACTCATGTTTATGCAATACTAATTCTTAACAAACATTTGCATTTCTAAAACTCCACTGACATTGCGATCATTATCCCTATATCTAGGCATATATTTTCAAATCACTCCGTTTTTCCTGGGGCTAAAGAGGTGGGGGTTCCTACCCAAGGTCTTGAGTGAAGAAGAAGGTGGTAGTTGTCATTAAAATCATCACATTTATCCAGTCTCACTCATTGTATAACCTTAGCTTTTGTCCCTTTTTGTCCTGTAGGGTCCAAAGATGATTGTAGTGTCTCTTCCTTCCATACCAAATATTTCTCTCTTATCTGTCACCAAGGGGACACAAATCATCTCCTGAGTGATTACATCATGTAAATACCACCTTAGCAGGCAAGCTGGGAGTTTAGACCACAGAGGTGAGGTTGCTCTTCTTTTCTGATATGAACACGTAATGCTATAAATTTTTCTTTAAGTACATTTTTAACTGTATCTCACATATTTTGACATAGTGTTTTATCTTCATTTAGTTCAAGCTATTTTCTCACTTCTCTTGTGCTTTCTCTTTCGATTTTTGGTCACTTCGTGTTGCAGCAGCTCGGGCCAGCATTCCCTCTAATTACATATTCTCAGAAATGGAAAGGGTGCTGGTATTCATAGTCTAGGTTATGACGTGCACAGCTCTCCAGCTACAGCCCGCAGAGATGAATTAATTCCTGCGTCAGGTTAGGCTTGAGCTAAGCCTCCTTTTACATACTCAACCTCTTTCAACATACCTGGCAGCAGAAAACAATAAAAAATTAAACTAAGAACTACTATTAAAAGGGGAGCTGGACTAGCTCACTTTCCTCTGAGGGCATGTGGTGCTTCTGCATACCTCCAAGCCTGCTCATGGGCACAGGCATCTCAACAATATCAGAGGAGAAACAATGACCACTCAATTCCATCAGTCCTTGTAGAAGTTTCAGCAGAAGATCAGGACTCTGCACTCCTGTGAGTGGTGGTCACAAGCGTGGTGTAGTTTCATTCCTTCCTGTTCTGTTGCCTAATGATTCTTTTAAATTTTTTTTTTTGAGGATAAAAAGTTGGAAGTTCATCTGACTCACAGGCTGTATTTCTCCTTGTCCCAGCCCTTAGCATTCATAGTCATCTAAGACTTCTTTCTCAGAGAGTTCTCTGTTGCCTGATTCCCTCCCTGGTTTACTAAGGGTCCTTCCTCAGGCACAAGTGACTCCAAATGTCTCAGGGTTCCAGGCAATTTGACTTGTTTTTGTTGTTATATTAAACTTCCCATAAGACATGAGATGAATTTGCATGAATGATAGCAATCTAGGAAAAGACTAGGGGACTGGGCATTTGGCTTGGGGGACTGGGGGTCTAGTGGCACAGTGCCTGCCTGGCAAGCTTGAGGTCCTGAGTTCGATTCCCAGCACCCAAACAAAAAAAGAAAAACAAATACTTAGAAATTAGTGAAAACAGATGATAAAGTCTTGGGCTCAAATAAAATTGAAAGTCAAATGAGTCCCTCACATAAAACTAATGTCATCAATGATGCAAACCTTTTGTGAAAACTCTACTCTTTGGTGTAGGGAGATCCTAAGAAGCTATCTTGTCTTTGTTGACATGGGCTGGTGTGAGAAAGTAAAATATTTCCTGGGTAAGTTTTAAACACAAGTCTATACCACATGTGAGCTTGAAATTTTTAATACACTTTCTCTGGCTAGTCTGAGAAGCTCTGTTCTGAGACTCTAATATTGAGATTAGTGCCAAGCCATGACACCCCAAGGATAAAAGCAAATCCAAAACCTCCCTGCAGAGACAATCTCAATTTAGGCCAGATTTCTATAATAGAATAAAACCTCTTTTTACCTGAGTTTACAAACCAAAATTACAGATGAGGCTGGGAAAGAATTCACCATATGCAAGATCAACTGGCAAAAAGAAATAGCAGAGATAGGTAAGAGTGATGTAAAAGAGCATATAAAATAATAATGCTTAATATAACTGCATAAATTCTAGAGAAAATCATGACAAGAAAATGAAAACTTTTAGAATGGATGTATAGAATGTTTACCAGTGAAAAAGATAGTAACTGAATGGATAAAATAGTAAATTAATGTTCACACTAAACAGATTGAATAAAATTATAAGTTTTGAATTTAAATTATAAAAAGTTTTTGACCAGACCTAAAAACTAACTAACTCCAAGATAGCATGTGTAGAAATGACACACTGTATAAGAAAGAAAGGTGGACAATAGCAAAAGAACCAAACTATGTCACAGAGGAATACCATCAAGACAAACTACAGAGAATGGAAGAGAGGCAGTCTGCTAGCCTAGAGTTCATAAAAGATAGAAATACACAGATTCCAGAAATGCTCTGTGATCTAACCTAGGCACGTCATGGTGAAACTTGGAAACAAAACACTAGAGTCAAAAAGAAGATTACACAACAACTGGGGAGGAAAGAGAGATTACCTATGGAGGAATTCCCACTATCAACAGACTTCTCAAGCTCAACAGAAATCAGAAAACATGGAGCATTGTCAACGCAGCAAGAGAAAATAATCATTAGCCTAGGTTTTCATTCCAGCTAATCTTTAACTCTCTTGGGGCTGCCAGATAAAGACAGTAATCACAGTCTAAAAGAATTTCCCAGTAACAGACACTGGCTAAAAGTACTCTGTGAAGAATTTATTTGAGGAAGAAGGAAATGAAACGCAGAAGAATGAATTTGTGATACAAAGAAACTGATCAACACGTAGGTAAGTAAAAAAAGTTTTCATTGCTTAAAATACTAACTAATGAAATAATATGAATTGTGACAAATGTTGGTGGTAAAACAAACAAGATAGAATTAAAATATCAACCCGTACTTCACTGTAAGTAGGATGAAATGATTAGAGTAAAAGCATTGTAATGTCTTTTGTATTATTTAGAAGAAGCACACAAATGTTGATGACTTACAAACTTTAAGTATGCCTAGTCACAATTTATAAGTAAGCGCTGAAAAAACAGGAATGCTAAGTGTATTTCTAAGCCAGTAGAGAGAATGAAAAGGAATGAAGAAAACTCAATATTTGATTGATTCAATAGTAGATACATCATGAGAAATAATCAGGTAAACTTATTATACTCATTTTACAGAGGAAGAAACTGAGGCCTGAGGTGTTAAGTAACATGCTCAAGGTCAGTTAGTAAGTGGTGGGTCTGGTATTCAAATGCAAGTTTGACTCTGGAGCTCAAGATTGTGACCACTAAAATATGCACTTCTCCCAAGAGGTGTGTTAAGATGAATTAGGCCAAAAGAAGAGAAATAAGTCTCAGTGTCTTTCTCTTTTTCGCTCTCTCTCTCTCTCCTTCCCTCCCTCTTTCTCTGTCTCTCTCTCACGATCTGTACATGTTTGCAGTTGCCCAGGTTGTGTTGGAACTTTCAGTCTTGCACCAGCCTTCCAGAGTATTAGGATTACTGGCATATGCCACCCCACCTCACCAGACTTGCTTCCTAAAATGTATTTACTGTTGCCTTTCGGAATGCAAGGGTGAAGACACCTGGCATGAAGGAAGTATCTAATTGATCCTAAAGAGACACCATCTAGCATATCTTTAGGCAAGTTTGCTTTGAGATTTCTAATTCTCCCTTGTAAAAAAGGCTTTTCAAAAAGCAAGTTCAAAGCTCTTTTGTGTAATATTAATATCAACATTTCTAGTTATTGCCCCCGTGCTCTTTTTATTTTATAAATATCCATGAGTTATATTAAGGTACATTCTTTTTACAGATTTAGTGTTACATAGAGACACTTTTCAAGGCTTCTCTTTGATTATGAAAAGCAAACACTGTGAGGGCAGGTGGAAGAATAATGCAGTAGTTACGCATGAGGATGACAGAGGCAACCAGGTTTTAAGGGATCACTTGGAAACAGAGCTGCGCTTAACTAATTGCAACAGGTTGGGGTTGACTCCAGAACGATGAAGAAAAGCAGTCCTCAAGGTGGCGTGTCTTGGAGAATGGACTCACTCAGCTGCAGATGCAAGTTGAAGTCTAGTACAGGGATGAAACAGGTAGTTAAAGGATAAAAGTAAGACAGATCACAGCCTTCAGAGCCTCAAGAACTACTTAAGCAGCATCTGTCAGCTTGTGTAAGTAGGTACTAGTAATACAAATAAAACCTAATATTTACTGAGTACTTACAGGCAACTATTGTTCTAAGTGCTTTGTATCTATTAACTCATTAAACCCTCCCAAGAGCCCTATGAAGTTGGCGCTACTAACATCTTCTTTTTAGCCGAGGGTGCTGAAGCCTGACATGTCCATCCATTGGATTTCACAGGCTTTGTGGCTGGGAAGTAGAGGAGATCTGTCTTACTCCTGACACAATTTAATCACAGCATTATAGCTTCTCCCTAGAGGACTGTAGTCTGGAGGAAGTGGACAGGCAGGAGAAGAAAGTTCCCTGGTGCTTTAGGTGTGTTGGGTGAGCTTTTAAGAAGGGACTTAGGCACAGGAAACAGGTCAAGGCAAGCCCAGAGCACACTGTGGGTATGAGATCTTGAGAGCAGGACAGCAAGGCTGAGGCCCTCATGAGAGACACTGATGCCAAGCCCCTGCTGTTATGTTCTGGTCGCCTGCCTTGCAGACCAAAGACTTTGGATCCCAACAGCATCAGGCTTGTTTCTAAAGATTCAGCTCAGCTAAGTCAGTAGGTGAGGCAGGAGGGAGGCTCTCCTAACTATCAGGGGAGAAAACTGCAGACCCTGGGAACCAGGCGGGGGCTAACCCACAGGAAAATGTGTGTTCCATGAGTATCGATTTTATCATTTTCTTGCAGGCACCATTATATTTTGTGTATCTGTATTTCCCCCATTTACAATGTGAAAATATGCTGGTCCCATGGAACTTGAATGTGTCACACACACGCGCACACACACACTGAGTATGTACTTGTACCTGACTTTAAAAAAAGCTTATAATAATGTGGTATTTTATTAATTGTATCCACATAATTTTTAATTTGCTGTAGAAGTAATTGAAGGCAACAAAATAATTGCCCATATTTTTATAAGTTAGGCTGTTTTTTTAACAAACACTTTAAAACTGACATAGAATATGAAACAGCATCAAGACCATAATAACCTTTATGAAATAACATATTCCATATGTATTTTATAAAATATATGGACTTTATGTGATAGGAGAGTTACTAGGAAATAAATTTGGAGTGAAAAAAATTTTTAAACCCAGTTAGGTATATATAATAAAATAGCTTGGGGAAAATAATCTCTTTAAAAATCTTTTAAAATGATCACTATGCTAAACTAATATCTAATGTCTTTATTCTTCTTTAAACTAAAGTATGCATTTCTTTTATGGAATGAGCTCACTTTTTTTTTCAGTACTAGGTACTGAATTTAGAGCCTTGTACATGCTAGGCAAGCTCTCTACTGCTAAATTACATCTCCAGCCCTGTGTGTGTGTGTAGGTATGTATGTATATATGTATGTATGTATCTATCTATCTATCATAGTCTTGCTAGGTTGCCCAGGCTGGCCTCAAACTTGTGATCCTCTTGCCTTAGGAGTAACTAAGATTACAGATGTGCTTATTTGTCTAACATTTCTTGTCCTAGAGAACAGAATTGAAATTCAGGCAGACATTGACAAGTTAGAGAATGATGCAATAAAAACAAGATGATTGTTAGTGAGGAAGAGGATACAGCAACTCAGGAGCCGACACTCACGCACAGATAGGAATGGCAGGCAGCACTGCCTTGGGGAAGGGCTGTCAGGGGCCGGGGGACTGGCAGCTGGTGAGGAGCCAGCCACCCCCTTGCTAACAATGCTTGCTTACTGCGTTCGTGGCAAGCGTCAGTGGGCGTGTGACGTACAGAGGCCCAGAATCCCTCCTTCCTCTCTGTAGCTCCCACGAGTCCCTGCTCAAGGCCAGGAGTGGGTTTTAGTGTCCCTACAAACCTACAAACCTGGAGTCTTCTTCTAATTAGGATGGAAGGTAGGGAGCTCCTGGGTGGCAGACAAAGGCTGCTCCAACTAGCACTGTGGGAAGGGCACACTTACAAATCAGCCACAAGGCCGTGGGTTCCATCCCAGCCTTGCCAAAAGGCAAAGTAAGAAACCTGAAAAGTGAAATATTTGTTTTTCCTCCTCCTAAGAGATTATTTTTTAAGATGAAAATGTATTTTAAGGTACCCCATATTCTGCCAATTTCTAGTCCCAGTTAATTACTTCACGCCACAACCTGATGAGTTGGGGAACTATTATTATCCCTATTTGACGTGGTAGGAAAATGAGTCACAGAGAGTTTAAGAAGTTGTCCCAAGATCACAGAGCTGAGATGCAAATGTAGGCAGGCTGACAGGAGACACAAAGGCCTGGCAGTCTTTCCTCCCTGCCTCCTAGAAGAAGGGTCACCCCACGGCAGCAGTTCATAGTGGAAAGAAGTCATTTCTCTTGGATTTCCTTTTATTTTTTGTAAAATAATGAGGCTGATTTTCAAGATCCATAAGCTCCCTGACAGATTTGAATTTTTATAATATTTAAGGTGCTGACATGTCTATATTAAAATGTCAGGTTGCTCACCTATATTTGATATGGGTTCTCCATTAAGATGACATATATATCATATATATATTTATATATATGTATATATCATATATATCCTCAAATGACAAACTGCACATGAGAGGAGATAACAGGGCAAGAGAGAATGGGCCCAATAGCACAGTGGAGAAGTCAGCCCCAAGGACCTGCCAAGAATGACACCAAGGAAGACAGGCTAAGAAGTTAAGCAAGGTCCTGAGAGACCAGTGCTGTGGTGATGTCCTGTGCAGCAGACAATGAGGGAAGTCACTGTACCAACCATCTGGACTCCCCAGCCCTTGGTCCCACTTCCTTTGCTAGCTACTCTTTTCCTCTCCCACCTGGCCTCAACTCCTTCTCCGACTACTGCAGGAAGCTAAAGATTAATCCTTCTGAAAAAAAATGAAGTAAAAATTGCCAAAAGTATAGACATCCTAGGCTAGGGAGAGTCAGCCACAATCTGTGTAGGATTCTGGGGCTGGCAGCACCCTTCCTTGGCAGCCAAACATGTGCCCACCTGCAGCCTCTACCAGCAAGGAACTGACATTTGACAGTGAATGTTTTTGGAAGAACTGAATAATCCTAAAGACAAGACCTGTACACACTGCACTGGGAATCCACCATGAAAAGAACATCTCTGCCCTACGAACCTGCTGGTGAGTCCATCTGTCATCCACCACCGCCATCCCATGGACACAGCTCTTCGTAGGGTTTTGGGTGTCTCCCACTTAAATATCAAAAGACAAAGAGGAAAACCATCACTATCATGAAAGGCCAATCAAACAAAACAACAAAACATGGAAGAGGAATGTCTTGATGTGTATCTTCTTGTGGTCCTAAGGAGATTGTCACTGAGCCAGGAATTTACTTAAAGCCAGAATACTACCTTTCTAATATTGGTCTAATATTTCTTAAATGAAGATATCTCCATTATGAGTTTTCAATGTATAAGTTTGTAAAAAGTTAGGTTAGATTTATTCAAGTTAATAATACCATTGATTACTATGTGAAAGTGCTAATTAAGCGTTTTACAAATATTAATTTGTTAGTAACTTAAGAACATTGTTGGCATTCATCAATTAATATTTGTAAAACACAGTAAAAGAGAACAGAAGAGAAGAAAAACTTACAAATACTATGTGTAAAATCCCCATGGAGGTAGAATAAGTTATTGGTACTCTTAGCATAAGAACAAATTTGTAACAGAGCAGAAGACAAAACACGAAAAAATTCCTGAAGGCTGGGAGTGGTAGTGCACACCTGTAATTCCAGCACTGGGGAGGCTGAGGCAGGAGGATTGCTGCGAGTTTAAGGCCAACCTGGGCTACAAAGTGAGTTTGAGGCCAGCCTGAACTGCAATTGAAACCCTGTCTCAAAAAGATTTTAAAAAGAAAGAGAAGATTCTTGAAAGTTGAAAACACTAGCTCTGCAGCAGTCTTCCCTCTGCAATAACTGCCTCTGGTCCCCATCACCAATCTTTACCTTGCCATGACCTTGCTCTCTCAGACTCACAGCACTGCAGAAATGGGCATTTGGCATAATAAAGAAAAACCTGCTGAGAATCTTCTCAGAGGGAATGGTTTGTTTCCTTAATGAGAAATAGACCAAGGGAGGAAATCTCTCTCTTTCTCTTTATTTTAGTTATTTTTTAAGCAAGATGTTATTTTGTCCCTAAGTCCCCTGGGACCATGGCAGTCTTCTTGGGACTCTTAGGAAGTCAAGCCTAAGAACTCCACTAGTAAGATGGCAGAAAGGAAAAAAATAATAATGACTGTGTCCTTGACAGCACCACTGGGCCAGCGGTCCACCCACAGGGCAAGGGGGAGACATGAGTATTTGGCACACGGGTCCTAAGTTCAAAGTTTAGGTGGAAGAGACAGCCTTGTCAGGAAAGAGGAGATGATGCTCTTTGAGGTTCTAGGCAGCACAACATTGTAGGGTTCATTCCCTCCACGAAGAATTGTGCTGTATTTCAGGCCTGGTTCTCAGTGACAAGGAAACAACACTGAACAGTACCTATTCCTTGCTATACTGCAGCTTAAATTCTAGGTCAAGCCAACAGAAAACTGAAAATAACACAAGAAAATATAAAATATGTCAAATAGTGAAAAGTATTATGCAGAAAAATGAACTTGGTTCTGGGAATTAAGATGGGCTGGGCGGAGCTGGGACAATGGTCAGGGAAGACAGCTGCTAAGTGGCACCCATCTGAGGCACAGATTTGAAGGAGTCCAGGAACAAAACCTTGAGGGTAGAGGAAGTCAACTTTAGGAAGAGGAAAGGGACAGATGCAATGGCCCTTAGCAGGGAATGTGCTCAACACATTTGAGGAAAAGCAGAAACAGCCAGAGAAAAGTATGGTAGGCAGAATTAAAAGGTGGCTAGAGAAGTAAGGAAGAAGAAATACTGTAGAATCTGGCAGGCCATTGGGTGGACTTTGCCTTTTGCTCTGAGTAAGTGAGAAGGTTTTTTGAGCAGCAGTATAAGTATTCTTAAACTATATGTATTCTTTATACTTTAAAGAGTAAGTCCGTATCTGTTGCACTGAGAATTGAGTGAAGGAGTAAAGGTAGAAGCAGACAGATGTTTAGAAAGCTATTATAGTAACTTCACTGGGGGAATAGCCAGAATGGTTGCAGAAGGGTTGGTGGGCTTTGGGTTCCTTATTTATCTGCGAGGTAAAAACAAAGGCAAAATCTAGATTTACTGATGAGTTTGACAGTGGTAGACATTGACAGGACTCTAACGTTTTTGGCTTGAACAAGAGTGTGAATTGAGTTGTCAATCACTGATTGCAGAAGAATGTGAAAAGATGAGGCTTGGAAGAAGAAAACAGGAGTTTGGTTTTGGACTATTTTTCCTCTTCAGCATCCAAGATGAAAAGGCTGTTGGCTCTACAAATAAGGAGTTCAGAGAAGAGGTTGAAGGTGAAGCTACTAGTTTAAAATTTGGCAGGAGGATTGCAAGTTCGAGGCCAACCTGGGCAACTTAGAGCCTGCCCCTACCCCAAATGTAAAAGGCTAGAGATGTAGCTCAGTGCTTTTAATCCCAAGTACTTCAGGTGGTGGGGAATATATAGATATTTAAAGTCATGATAAAGAATGGGTCACCCAAGAAGTGAAGGTAGATGGAGAAGAGTTCTAAGGACACCTCAATATTTGGAAACTAGAAGAACAAGATAAAACTAGTATGAGAGTGTGAAAAGGAATGGCTAGGGAATCATGTCCTAGAAGCCATGTAAACAGGGGCTAATCAGCTGTTAGATAAAATTCCACCAGATTGACTACCAGATTGAGTAGGTTAGAAATTTTGGGTAACACTGAGAAAGGTTCAGAAGACCATGATGTATCAGCAACATCAGTGTCTTGGTTTCTTTTCTCTCATTGCTGAGACAAAATACCTGACACCCAGAATTAAGGATGGAAAGATTTATTTTGCTCACAGTTTGTGGGGGTTTCAGTCCATGCTCAGCTGGCTCCAAGGCAGAGTGGCACATGGCAGAGGGCAACAGTTCATGGTTGAGGAACACAGAAAAAACAAGAGGAAAAGGGAGGAATGGCAGCAAGCAGCCTCTTTCCTTCCCTTATGTTATAGGCAAACTATCTGCCCCAGGGCGGGTGTAGCACTCACATCCATAATTCCAGCACTGGACCATAAATCAATCATAAATCTAGAAGCCTGGCCCATGACTACATGAGGATTTGGGGGGACACCCAGACATACACCATAACAATCAGCTAATCTAGACAATCACTCATAGGAAGCAGAGTGCAACATTGAAAATGACTCCTTGCCTAGCAGAAGTGTGCAATTCTAACTTTGCTTCCAGGGTGATGGAAGCCTAGTAAGGGAATGGGTCACTGGAAAGAAAATAAGAACCTCTGGGTTTCCCACTTACATTGAGCCGTTATGCTCTTTGGAGCCTTGAATTATGTATAAGATTGTTGATGGAAGTTGAACGACCCATTTCTCTGTTCAAAAGTCAGAAACCTTTGAAAAGGCAAGCATAATAAAAAGCAATATAGAAGCTATAAGCACAGAATTTTAAATAGAGATGTTTCTGGATCAAATTCCAGTAGATTAGTTTTGGACACCAAGCTATTAAACCTTTCTAAATCTTAATTGTTCTCATCTGTAAAGTAAGACTAATCATGTGTCTCATGAGATTTTTTGCATGAGCAATAAATTGAATAGCATAAGGAAGAGTCCTAGTGCTGTAACCATCCAAGCATGAGGTCAATAAATAACATCTATTATTATCATTATATCTTATGTAGGTCTGAAGTGGAGGCTACTTGCTTTGATGTGGCAAAGATGAAGCTACTGTTGAAATGAACCTACTTGGAGAATAGCTTGGCCAGAGCTGCAGTTTTAATAAAAGTTTTGAAAGGCATTTATTATAGCTTGGACCTTGTAAGAGGCAGAGTAGGTCTCTAGGCCATATTTTCTTGATCTACTCCAAAATAAATTTCACTGGTTTCTCTTAAACTCTGCTCTTTGAACCAGACCGAAGCATGTAGAAGGTTAAGATAATACTGCACCCCTGGGAAATGAGGGCAAAAGAATAACTTGCCCCCTCAGAATGCTGGCAGGCCAGCAGGTGTGTGTGAGGCACTGGATGGCTTTCAGTTCAGCCTCATCCTGTGTTTTTATCCTCACTCTCACATATTGTCACTTTAGAGTTCTGTGTTTACAAGGATGCCAGTTTTATTCTCATTGGTTCACAAAACATACAGCAGAAGACAAATACCTGCAAAATCATTTTTTGACAGTGCAGTATGACTTCCTTTTTATTTTCATAGCAACTCAGACCAAACTGAAATATTTCTAGTAGAAACAGTCACATTCCTCACTCTTGAATAAAATATTTAGAAATTTAGCAAATGGGTTTGACAGCCTAGAACAATGTTCATTTGTAGCTATTATTAACTTCTTTTTCTTTTTAAATGCATGATTTGAGTCCTGATTCTGTGATTTTTTTAAAAAAAGAAATCTATCTTGAAACTTTATACCTTGAGAGCACTTTAGCTAAGAGGTTCGTGGGGCACTGTGGGTTTTGGGTTTTTGTATTACAGTTCAGGTCATTCAGTTTATTAACAAAAAAAAAACAAGCAAAATAAGTATTTCCCAGAAGTCAAGTCATTTCCCTACAGGGAACATAAAATTTCATTCATCCCTGAATTTAAAATCTTCGTGGCCTAGTGAAAAATATCCAAGGAAATCCTGTTTCTTCACATGGACTCAAGGAAAGATTTGTTTGGGTATCTTGAATCCACAGCTGCTTTCTGCTTCCTGACCTTCACATGGGTGAGTCTGGTTCCTATGTTAGACACAAACAGATTCTAAACTTGCTTCATAATCATTGCCCCAAGTAGCCTTACCCTTATTACCATCTGGCTCTATCTTATAAATGAAAATGTTTCTAATAGGGACATTGTGAATCATTTATGCTGGCTTGAAAGGGTCATTTCTGGCACAAATGTCAATTCTCAAATACTCAGCTAGGAGGTTTTATGCCTGACTTGGTTCTAACCTCTCTTTATTGTCATCATTATAGTAGAATTTCACTTAACAAATTATCTGGGCATAAAAAATTGCCATGTTGGACTTGAAATAGGTTAAAATGTTTGGCACCACAGCAACAAACCTATCACCCAACAGACAATCTTAGTATAATTAAAAACTGCATGATTAGCAGGACATGGCACATGCTTGTAATCCTAGTAC